CAATCTGATATAAATAAATTGAGTAATTGGTGTATTGCAAATAAGATGACTCCTAATGTTACAAAATGTAATGTATTTCATGTCAGATCTGTTCTAGAGTATGGTTCTATTGTCTGGTCCCATTACTATATAAGTCATATAGCTAGGCCAGAATCTGTTCAAAGAAAATTCATTAGCTATCTGCTATGGAAGTTACCACATCTTCTGTTATCAGTTATAATGCGTTGTTTGAAGCAAGAATGCAGTTTTCAGCTGTTTGTTTTATTTTTAATATTCTCTCCAATAATATTGAAGCGCCTGATATTCTAAATCTATTGCCTTTTATGTTCCAACTTATCCTGTTAGAAATGTTGCAATCTTTTAATATTGATCCATCTAGATGTACCTGATATGTCCATTAAATAATATTATTTTAACATGTAATAAGAAAGGTATTGTGATAAGCTGGACTTTTTTTGGTATCAATCTTTAAGGGTCCACAGTCTCCACAGTCGTCGCTCGCAAAATCAGTTCCAGTGAGGAGAATTATTTTTTGTAACTATGCAACCCAAAGTACCGACCCATCGCAGATAGCGACCCAAAAACACGAGAGATTATGGTCACTGTAGGGAGTCCGTCATTTATTAGCTTATTTATTTTCAAATGAAGGGTACAGGGAAATAACCATCGAAATCCATTTGTATGTATTTTGAAAGAAATTGAGTTGAAAGTTTAAAATGCTGGGGAAATAGATTGAGAAACCCACAAGGTTCAGTCTAATACAACTTTTTATTTTCTTTATAATGTTTTAAAAATATATAAAATAAACTGTTTATGTTCAAATATAACAGCAAAAAAAAATTGGTGGAAAGTTGTTTCGACAGAACTTCCCTCGCACCTAAAATACAATGAAACATATCCAGCATCTTCGGGTTAAATTTTTACTTTAGGTACACAATTTTGCAAGGACACGTAAATCAATGTGGATTAGACTAAAAATTAACAGTATTCCCAAAATTTCTGGGAAAATGGAGTGAGTCGTTCCTGATTTAATCAACAGAATAAATTGACTCATTCATTAATTTTTTTGAGCCACCTAGGTATATAAACAAATCTAAAAAATATGAATGCAATGATAAATTACAAGTAAAAACTCATCATATTTTGCGCATTTTCAGTAGAATTTATTCGGCAAAATTTTGAGACGACGTTATCAATTTTTTAATAACATAATCCTGAACTTGTGGTTTATAAATACATTGTTGAGATTTTTCGACTTTTCGGTTTTTCGATTTTTCAACTTTTGATGTTGAATTGTTCAATATTTCAATTTTTGACATTTTCAATTTTTCCATTCTTCAAATTTTCGATTTCTCAATTGTCCGATGTTTCACTAATACGATTTCGCAATTTTTCAACTTTTCGATATTTTAATTTTTCAATTTTTAAAATACTAGGTTTTTCGATTTCTCGAGTTTTCAGTTCTTCTATGCATATTTCAGTTTTTCAATTCTCGGAATTTATTAAATTTCTGATTTTCCATTTTTTTTTAATTTTTCGATTTTCCAGTTTTTCGATGTTTCTATTTTTCTATTATTATAGGAGTGTTCAGTTTCTCGATTTCTAAATTTTAGATTTTCCAATTTTTATTTTTTTTATTTTTTCATGTTTGGACTATTTATTATTGCTAAAAATAAAAGTAAAAAATAACTACAAAAATTGTGACTAAAAATATGTAAAAATTAATAGAAAATAGAACACATTGCTGCAGAAACATAAAAATAACTGTACTTTCCACTATATAGTTAATATGTTGTCATTATTTTTATTAATTCTAATTTTTTAAATCAGGTTCTTTACCGTAAATAAATCAAATCAAATCAAATAACGCAAGTTATCATAGTAGACTTGAGGTGTCAATTTATTTGTAGGAAGAAATTCCTCGAAAAAGTTGGACAAAGACAAAAATGATAGCATATTTAAATAAAAATGAGATTGATTATCCACCCAAGGCCATGAAAGACCAAATCTAGGGAATATTGGCTAACAAACAACCCCAAAAACTTATAATTTAGATTTATACGCCCAACATCATGGGCATTGGGTATTGAGAATAAAAAAAAAATATGAAAAGATCATTCCAAGAACCAGCTCTTTTCCTAATGATGTTTGTGAAACTTGGCAAAATGTGATTGATCAAGTTCCGACTGTGCATTGGAACAATAATGTTAAAGATTTTGATAAAATAATAAATCGCGCTTGGGAAAATGAAAAAATTTTAGATATTTCAAAACAGAATGAAATTATTATTAATGTTAATAATTCGGATGATAGTAAGAGTGGAAGTGAGGATGATAACAGTAGCTTGAAGATTTAGATGTCGATATGTCATAACTTGAAACCTTTTCTTATTAAAGCTTTCGTTTTTCGTTTTTTAATGAAGTCCAATTAATTAACTAATTAAATGGTGTAGTTTTAAAAAAATGAAAGTCAAAATTTACCATTTTTTTAGTTGATGGGCAACATATTCGTAACATATAAGAAATCACCTACGAAAAGTTACTGTAAATTGTACATAGAGTAATAAACTGTTATTATTATGATATTTTAAATAAAAAAAATCTAACATACATTAGTAAAACGAAGAAAATTGGAAAACTAATAATGTATAAAAGAAACAAAAACTGCTTTGAGAATATTTCTTTTTGTATTAAAACTTTTGAGACATTTGTAACTCGTCCTAATATTTTATTGACTGCAATAGGGGAGTTGCATTTTTAAATTTACCTTCCTTCATTTCATTTTCCTTTTACGATTAAATTTAACATGCAGGTTATAACTGCCTACAACCACATTTCCTTTAAAGCTACTTAGATGCAACATTGGGGAAATGTTTTCAAACATATTAAAAAAGTTTTACAAAGTTAAACAAGTGTTTTCAAAAAAAGTGACTACTCACCGTTGTCCTGAAAATTATGAACAAATGACATTCTTTCCCATGGTTCGGTAAAAACATGCCCGTTAGCTCGGTTTAATATATCACAGAGATCCTGGAGCGTTATTTTTAATAGACGGGAATAAAAGAAAATTTATTAACTCACTCTCCTATTTTCAGTTTTTAGAGAGCTGAAACGCAAACTAATGTTCCTATTAAGTTTCAACGGCGTCGCCTTAACATTGTAAATCAAAATTTCCCATTTCATTAGTAAATTATGTAATAATAATATTAATATATACAAAGAATATATTTACGTGAAATCGGAAACCGTATTTAGACAACATCTGACAAAATATTTCTGGTTGTTTTGGTAGTGAAATATTTATGGAATTTTAAAAAGAATCACAAAACCGCATCCGTCGATTGCTAAGTAGGAACCTACACTCAGCGAATTGACTCAAGTTACCCACCGTATCCTTTACGATTATTTCCAAACTTTATTGTAAGTTAATAATGGTAATTAATAGTAACGGTACAGAGGTGATGACACGCGGATTTGCGGCAGCTTTGCGTGCTTGTCTTCACACTATCCAAATGAGATCTATTTATAATGGAATTTTTTTCAAAACCACTTCACTCGTTTTTGGGAAATAAATGGCCTTCTGTGACATTTATGTAAAGTTCTTTCTATTTTTAACAAAATGGTCTCGAGATCAGCCTGATAAGCCCGAATATATAAAGACACTTAATTCGGACTCACAAAAATACCGCTAAGAGCTATCTTCTCCTTATCTTTTTAACAGGTCACTAATCTTTAACATTTTAAATCAAATAAAATTTCTTGTTGTTTGGATCATCGCGGCAGTCTTTCTGTTTTTTATCTTCCTCATTTGAATAATCACTCTTTAAAGAAAGAAATATCAGCGTGTAATGATGATTTGTCTGCAGCGGTTTAAAGTTTCGGGAACTTTGTCAAAATTGAACCAATTTCGCTGCGATTATGCGAGCGCATTCTTCGACATTAATTAGTTCAGAAGAAAATGTTAAGCAAAAACCGCGACTGGAAGTTGGTCAACCTTGAACATAAACCAGAACAATGGCGGTACGGTTTTTGCAGCAGTGACTTTACTCGAAACTACCAATGGTCGCGGTTCCAGGTACAATATTAAAGAACCATTCCGACGGGCGCAAATTATTGCATTATTGATAAGAAATTTTAAAAGGGGTTCAGCGAAAGATAGTCATAGAGATTTAGTAGAAACAGAGTGCGTGTTTTTTGGGTGAGTTCATTCGTGGTTTGAGTACTCTGTTTGGAATTCCAATGGTACCATATAGATTCGAATTTTGATGTCTATTGTTCGGTTCGCAAAAAGTGATATCTTTTTCAGCAGGATAGTGAACGTTTGATAGTAGTTGGTTTGAGTTCACACTTCTGGTACTTAAGGTTAGTACTCATTAGAAAATTCATTTTGGTGTGAACTAACCTATTAGTTAGTTGTAATTTGACGGAAAGACACCATCGTGGGCGAGCTAACGTCCTCAATTATTATATGGTCTGTGACAACCGCCGCGGTAATTATGCAAGTTAATTAAAATTCTTTTGGTAATTTTTTCCATCATTTAAATCACTACCGTGTACCAAGACATATAAAAATCCGCAGACCGCAAAGAATGCTTAAGTGTTAAAAATAAGAATGAAAGAACTGACGTCATGATCGTGGTACTTATTAATGCGACTTGTTGTATATGAATAATTTGACAAGTCTTGAATGAAATTTTCAGTTTTGAAGCGACCGTTACGATTTTGTTTCGTTTAATGCTACACATTGATACATTTTGTGGAATGCAGCGTAGAATTGTAGTAATGGTTCATCACGAAAGAGGCGGTTGTTTGTTAGTCATGCGGTCAGTGTGTAATTATTTCAGGTAATGTTTTATGGGGGATAATTGCTTACATTAAAAATTTATAGTACTTCCGACTTAATAGTAAGTTTTAGCGCTCCGACTGGACGATCTTGTTTCATAATAATTTCAGTACTATTATTATTTCAACTCTATGACTTATCCGGGTCTTTTTTTTCAGATCCTCAGCATGGCGTGGATGATGATGATTCTCAAGATGCTGGAAATTCTCGTGCTCAATACGTTTCGGCAAACTGTGTTGTTTTTACCCATTATCAGGGCGATGCGGCTTCTGTAGTGGACGAACATTTTTCTAGAGCTTTGGATAAAACGTCGGCGCATACAAAAGGTCAGTACCTATATCATACGCTGTTTGGATTCCAAAAATTTTTTTATCCCACGAAGGGGGGGATTATTATTTTCCATTCATTAAAGGTCCTAAAAATTATTAAACTGTAAAAGTGAAAAATTGCATAAATATAAAATTGAAGAATCAGATAATTGTAAATTAGAAATATGTATTAAAAAATTGATAATCGAAATTTTGAGAAATTAAAAAAAAAATTGAAAATTGAAACAATGAAAATCGGATAATTAAAAAATCAAAAACTGAATAATTGAAAAAATGAAAAATTTAAAAAACGAAGAATTATGAAAATAAAAATTAAGAAATCGATTATTAATAACCGAATAAATGAGACATCCAAAAATTATAAAAATATAAAATTGAGAAATCAAAAAAGTGTAAACTCGCAAAATTGAAAAATATCGTACTTCTAAAAACAAAAAATTGTAAAATAATTAAACTGAAAAATGAAAAACTTCAAAATTATAATTGAAATTTTGAACAATCAGAAATCAAAAAAATTGGAAAATTAGAAAATTCCAAAATTAAAAATTGGTTAATTGGATACTCGAAAATTTAATAAGCGGTAAAATGGAAACTTGCAAAATGATTAAACTGAAAAATCGAGGAACTAAAAAATGAAAAATCGAAAAATTGGAAAATTGAAGGATTCTAAAACCGAAAACTTGAAAAATCGATTTGAATAATAATAATATGAAATAATTGGAAAATTAAAAACTTATACAATTGGATTCGAAATTTTGAAATATTGAAAATCAAAAAATTAGAAAACGGAAAAATGGAATTTTGGATACTAGAAAAATCAAAAACTGAAAAATCGAATACTTCTTAAAACGAAAAATTGTAAAATCGGGAAATTGGAAATTCTGATATTGACTAAAAACTTGACTGATTAAAAGCTGGACAATCGAGAACTCGAAAAATTGTAAAAATATGTATTAAACTGAAAAATCAGAAATTTGCAAAATTACGAAACTGAAAAATCGTATAATTTTAAAATTGAAAAGATGCAAAATCACCTAATTGTAAAATAAAACAATTACAGAATTAAAAATAGAAAAATTGTGAAACTATAAAATTGAAAAATCAACAACTTGAAAAATTGAAAATCGAAATTTTGAGAAATTCAATAAGTATTAAAAAATTAAAAAATTGAAACAACGAAATTCGGTTAATTGACAAATCAAAAATTGAATAATTGAAAAAATGAAAGAAATTAAAAAGAAGAATTATATTAGATATTAAAAACTGAAAAATGTATTCATTCAAAACTGGACAATTGAAACCTCCGAAAATGGTTAAAATGTAAATTTGTCAAATAATGAAAATGATAAACCAAAAACTTTACAATTAAAATCTTGAACAATTAAAAATCGAAAAATTGTAAAATTGCAAAATTAAAAATTGGATAATTGTAAACTCGAAAATTTATTAAACTACCAAAAATTAAAACTTGCAAAATTATTAAGCTTAAAAATTGAACAAATGAAAAACGAAGAATCGAAAAAATGAAAAATCGGAGGATTCCAAAATCGAAAAAATGAAAAACCGAGAAATTAGAAAATCTGATACTACAAAAACAAAAATTGAAAAACTAATTCATTAAAAATTGCAAAGTTAAGAACTCAAAGAATTGTAAAAATATAAAACCGAAAATAAAAAAAATTACAGAATTATGAAACTGTATAGTTTTTAAATTGAAAAGTTGGAAAATCAGACAATTGTAAAATAGAAATAGGTATAGCAAAACTGAAAAATCCAAAAATTGCAAAATTGAAAAGCAGAAAATTAGAAAATTGAAACAATGAAATTCAGGTACCTGAAAAATCATAAACTAAAAAATCGGATACCTAAAAATGAAAGATTGTGAAATTATTAAACTGGAAAATTAAAAACATCAAAATTAAAATTGAAATTTTGAATTAATAAAAATGTTAAAAATTGATAAATTGTAAAACTACAAATTTATATAATTGTAAACTCGAAAATATATTAAACTGTAAAAATAAAAAAATGCAAAAATTGAAGAACTGATTCATTAAAAACTGGGCAATTGAGAACTCGAAAAGTAGTAAAATTTTATATTTTTACTGAAAAATGAAAAAATCGTCAAATTAGGAAATTGAAAAAGCTTATAATTTTAAAATTGAAAAGTTGAAAAATCAGACAAACATTAAATAGAAATATAATAAACTTGAAAAACCGAAAAATTGGAAAATTATGAATTTGAAAAATCATAACCTTGAAAAATTAAAATCAGAAAATTGTAAATTGAAAATTTAATTCATTAAAAACCGGACAATTAAGACATCCAAAAATTGTAAATATCTAAAATTGAGAACTCAAAATATGTAGCGTAAAATCGAAAAACTAGAGAATCAGATATCTTTAAAAACGAAAATTTGTAAAATAATTAAAAGATAAATCAAGAACTTGAAAAATTAAAATTGTAATTTTGAACAAATAAAAATCGAAAATTGTAAAAAAATTACAAAAATTAAAAATTATATAATTGTATTAAACTGTAAAACTGGAAACTTGCAAAATTATTAAATGGAAAATTGAACAATTGAAAAATGAAGAATCCAAGGATTTCAAAACCGAAAAATCGAAAATTCGAGAAATTGGAAAATCTGGTACAGAAAAATTAAAAATTGAAATACTGATGCATTAACAATTGGACAATTGAGAACTCGAATAATTGTAAAAATAAAGAGTTGCATAATTACGAAACTGAAAAATCGTATAATTTTAAAACTAAAAATTTGAAAAATCAGACAATTGTAAATTAGATAAAGAAAATTGAAAAATCGAAAAATTAAAAAATTATGAAATAATTGAAAAATCAAAAACTTGGAAAAAAAAATCGAAATTTTGAAATATATGTTGAAAATCGAAAAAATCAGAAAATCAAAACAATGCAGTTCGAAAAATTGAACAACCAAAAACAAGAGAATTAAAATTGAAATTTTGAAATATTGAAACTAAAAAAATTAAAAATTGTAAAATTACAACGAAAAAATTAGAACTGCAAAAATAAAAAAATTGCAAAATTATTAAATTGAAAAATCGAACTAAAAAATGAAAAATCTAAAAAGTGAAAAATTAAAGAATTCCAAAACCGAAAATTTGGTAAATCGGGAAATTGGAAATTCGGACACCTACTGAAAAATCAAAAACTGAAACTCTGATTCGTTAAAAATTAGAACTGAGAACTGAAACAATTGTAAGAATATAAAACTGAAAAATCAAAAAATTGTAAACCCAATGAAATTCGGATAACCGAAAAATTATAAATTGAAAAATCGCATACCCTTAAAAAGAAAAATTTTAAAATAACTAAAACGGAAAATAAAAACTTGAAAACTTAAAATTGAAATTTTGAAAAATTAAAGATCAAAAAATTGATACTCTAATTTGTAAAATTGGATACTTGTAAACATCTAATAAATTATTAAACTGTAAAAATGAAAAATTATAAAATAGAAAAATCAAATAATGGTAAAATTGTAAAATTGAATCATCACTAAATGAATGAAACGAGAAATTGAAAAATCTCAAAACTAAAAATCAAAAATTGAAAAATTCAATAATTAAAAAATTTTAAAATCAAAAAAATTCTAAAATTCAATTACTAAACAATTGCAAAACGAAAAATAGAAAAATTGTAAAAACAAAACAGAAAAATCAAAATATTGTAAAATTACAAAATTGAAAAAGTGGTCCGAAGTTATTTAGACAGAACTTCCCTTGCCCGAAATACGGTACAATAAGTCCACCTTATATACAATCTTACATCAGTCAAGGTAAATAAGCATGATATGTGAATGATTCAAGCGAGTGTTTCCATTACAAAATTTTGTGATGACGTCGTCAAAATTTTTTCAACATACATCAATTCCATCACAAGTAGAAAAATGAATGTCTCATGATCATGAAACATGAAAGTAGCAATTCGCCCCATGCATTCGATTACTACACTCTCTTAGCTTATACTCAGGAAGTAAGAACTTCTTCGTGTATCAAATAAATTTTACCATACTTGTAATTACGTGCGCAATCATAATTTGAAAGAAATTCTTTTTGATTCAGGTTGTTTGCTTGCATTGACCTTACCTTTTTTGGAAAACTTGTGTAACAGTACATTGTAAGTTTTTTCAGTTATTGCGTACGAGGGTTTAAAATACATAATTACCTTGCCTTTTTGAGAGTGTTTAAATTTAAATTACATAAATGGTAAACATAACCTTATATTCCACATCCCGAATCGAATGGAAGTTGCTGTGACGTCAATCGCAAGCCACACGTTTCTTTTAACTTCATTAATTTGAAAAACTGTAAATTGCAAAAAAACTACAATTTTTCTGATTTAAACAGAAATCTGGCGATAATTTACACAACTCAGTTTACTGTAAAAAAGCTTTGATCTACACGTCGACACCACTAAAAAATAGACTTTACTTATCTAAAATGAATCCTGAAAGGTACCATAACAGATGCAATACAGTCACAAGGAGCACATAATTTTAGTGGTATGAATGTGACAAGTCCAAACAAAATTAAAATGTGATGATATAAAAATTATTGTAACTGTTTTTATTACAAACGGATACCTGAAACGACTCGTACTTGCAGCTGTTCTTAAATCTCTTGATCTCCCAGATACCACCTGCCATTACGTAACAGAAAAATTACAGAAAAATCCTCATTGCACTGATAAAATGCGCCTCGAATGACGTAATTTAAAATTGCACCCAACGCCTGATCGTTTTAATGGCTGTTGGAAGGAGAATGTGCCGCGTCAAAATCAGAGACATTTCAAGACGACCATTAATAACGGGCGCTTTCGAGGGGCAACCGCATGTCTCAACAAGAAAAGAAGTCCTTTCGTTAATAAATCATCCGTAATTTATGTCATTTCACTACCGTAATTACTTTCATAAATCCATCAGAATTAAAAAATATTCGGTCGCAGCCACTGG